CACTTTCGGAAAATTATGTGGACCTCAAATCTTGGATTGCGCTTTACAACAGTTGTATTTATGTTTAAGTTGGTTTACTTGTTTGAATGATTAAACTCTACTACAATAAACTCTGGAGTAACAATAGTCAGTATTGGCTTCTCTACGTTTGTGTTACAAAACGCAAAATAAAGTTATCTTGGTGTAAGACCAAAGAGTAAAATTATTCGAGGGTTAGTTACTCTGGTTTAACATAGTATTTGGTCGAATCCATCTTTAATACACGGTTAAATAACCGAGTAATAATGTTATGGTATTCTTTCATATAATGTTTTTAGTTCTGGACAAGTCATCCGAAGGCTCTATCTCTATAAATGTTTCCTCGGTTTAAGATCTTTGTAGAATATTTAGAGACGATACCAGGATACCCGACGGTATGGGTTTGGTTGCTTGAGAGAGAGAGAAAGAGATAAAGCTTTGGTGTGGGATACTACTTGCGAACACTTTGACAGCATCCCATCTCAGGGGTACCTCGTCTAAAGCAGAGGTGGCGTTAGAGGCAACTGAACTAAGTGACTAGACTCGAATATTTAGAAGATGAGTACATATTTGTGCAATTTGCTGTAGAGACTATTGGTCCGTGCGGTGTAGTTCCTAAAAAACTATCTGTGACTGATCTTCGCTGCTGGTAATAAGAAGTTGTTTAGTTTGTTGTTTCCTTGCTTGAAGGCTAAGTATAGCCATTCAGAGAGAACACGTAGCCAGTATTCTTTTTTTTTATAGAAGAGGGGGCAAACGAGCATGCGGCTCATCTGATGTTAAGTGACTACCGCCGCCCATGATCGATTAATCATCATTCTTGGGACGATACCACGGAAAGTAGGACTGTATGATAATTTCTGTTATTTTTTTTAACATTGTTATTTTAATTTCGAAAATGACATTGTAAATAACTGATAACAATGTAATTCAAAGTTTATATTTTTTATATTATTTTGCTAGCTCACTCCGGCGCATTGCTGCCGCAGAAGAAGTAATTGTGGAAATATCGTTAAAAATGTGGAACAGTTATATTGTATAATTAGGAATGGGAATACAATCATTGAAATAGAATGATATATAACTTTCTATAACTTTCAAATACGCACGCCACCTAATGTCAGTTAATTGTACCATGCGTATAACATTCGCAGAAGTGCAACCAATAAGTTGACTAAGTTTTACCGCAATCTGATGAACGGTATAGCATCGTAGAAAGTAAGTACAAACATAAATTTTTATATAGTAGAAAATATTTTACTGTCTATAGACAGACCTGTAGTTGATTAGAATAGGCGTTATTATAACAGCTGATTTGTTTTTTATAATACTAGAACTAAATGAACGGTTGACAATAAATTGTTTTGGAAATTATGTTTTTATTTTTATTATGTGTAGTTAGTTTAATCTTAATAATTTTTTAGTTGAATGGTCTAAGGGCTACGATGGCTATACGAGTACAGAACCAGAGTACAAAACTAATCCAACTGTAGAGATGTGTAAGACAGGGTAACGTAACATTCCCGATTTGCCGACAATATAGTCCTTATGGCAGACTCGCTGGAGGACCTACGCACTATGTTCAATGACCTCAATAGTGTCTCCCAACGTATAGGTCTTAAGATGAACATGAACGAAATAAAAGTCATGTGTAATGTCCATGTCACATCTGTGCCGGTGGTTTTTGGGAGCACATATCTGAAGTGGTTGACGAGTGTTTTTACTTGGGACAAATAGTCCGACTAGGTAAGTTCAACTTCGACCGATAGGTCAATCGACGGATTCAACTCGGCTGGGCAGCGTTCGGGAGATTACAACACATCTTCTCGTCAGTCAGTGTCAGTGATGACCTATGGATTTGAGACGAGGTCTTTCACTGCTGGCCGTATGAGGAAGCTCGAAGTCACTCAGCAAGTTATGCTCAGGGGTTCAAACTTAGAAATGAGGATATCTGCAGCTGAACCAGAGTGACCGACATCGCCCAATAGATTAGTAAGCTGAAGTGGCAACTGATCGGCCATATAGCTCGAAGAACCGAATACCGGTGGGGAAAAAAGGTTCTCGAGTGGCAGCCTCGTACCGGCAGGTGATGTGTAGGAAGTTCCCCCACTAGATGAAGTCAAAACCTGGTAAGACATACAGGAAGTTGATGGATGCAGGTGGCTCAGGACCTTGCTTTATGGCATTTCTTGGGGGAGGCCTATGTTCAGCAGTGGACTTGTGAAGGGCTTTAATGATGATAATGGCATTACATTAATATGATACATAAATAGAATGGACGTTACGGGTAGTCCATCTATACATAGAGTCCATTCTATTTAGGTATAGGTAGGTTAGAGAATTTTATCGATATAATTTGGTACACTGTCTCATCCCTATTATTAGTTCCGTGGACGTGCACTTCTGTTGTCAGCGCCAAAATGGCGGAAATCAAATCGCTTCATCATGTCACGGTGTATAGCCAGTCCAGCGTACTTGTATATATAGAGGTCAGTGGTCTCCTATCAACTTACAGGACGAAAAAATGCAACAAATAAAATAATAAAGAATTATGATTTTAAAATTGTAGTTTACTTTGAAAGCAATAACGATACTGTATGATCATGTATAAATTATTGCAATACAACGCTAGTGGAAAAAAATCTTATTCTAATTTGTGTCTCCAAAAGTTAGCCAGTGTGTTACTCCGGTTCGATATGGGGTAGATTTTTCGTTTTCAAAATTAAACAACTATATTTACCTAATTTTGATGAGGCAACGCCGTAGGTATGGAATGTAAACGTAAGGAGTACCAACTCCCATAGTAGAATAGTTGAAAAAATTTTCATCTGTAAGCAGTAAATAACAGTTCAAAAACTCATCACAACAGCGCTGGAGTAGCTACTGGGATGAAATGAACTTAGCAGTTATCGACGATTTAAGTGTCCTGCTAAACTTCTCTCTTTGCTATAATTTTTTTAGTCTTTTCTACGCCTTTAACTACGTAAGTGGATATTGAGTTTTCCCATTTTTAGAATGATAATGGATCATCGTTATCGAATTATTGATAGTCAATTACTGTCTCTTCAGCGGTGCCAAGTTGACTGTCGGTATATCGAAGTGCTGAAGTGTTTGTACAGTAGGGCTACGATGGCTATCCGAGTACAGAACCAGAGTACGAAATCTATCCAACTGCAGAGAGGTGTAAGACAGGGTGACGTTATATCCCCGAAACTCTTCACCGCTGCGTTGGAAGACGTTTTCAAGCTATTGGACTGGATTAAGGATACGGTATTAACATCAATGGCGAGTACATCACTCACCTTTTGCCGACGATATAGTCCTTATGGCAGAATCGCTGGAGGACCTTAGCACTATGATCAATGACCTCAATGGTGTCTCCCAACGGATAGGTCTTAAGATGAACGTGGACAAAACAAAGATCACGTTTAATGTCCATGTCGTACTTATGCCGGTAGTTGTTGGGAGCACTATGCTCGAAGTTGTTGACGAGTACGTTTACCTGGGACAAATAGTCCGACTAGGTAAGTCCAACTTCGACCGAGATATCAATCGACGGATTCAACTCGGCTGGGCAGCGTTCGGGAAATTACGACACATCTTCTCGTCAGGTATACCTCAATCTCTGAAAACTAAAGTATACAACCAGTGCGTGTTGCCAGTGATGACTTACGGATCTGAGACGTAGTCCTTCACTGCTGGCCGTATGAGGACTCTCAAGGTCACTCAGCGAGCTATGGAGAGGGCTTGCTCGGAGTTTCTGAGGATATCCGCAGTAAAACCAGTGTTGCGGACGGCGAGTGAAATCCTCCCTCGCCCCGCACCGCACCCACGTCGACCCGTCCCGCATCGGAACGGGGCCCTTGTTGCGTGTTGTTGTGTGTGCGCGGACGACACTCCTACTAACTCGGTGCTTACGGCGCACCGTACTACGAAATAAAAGAAGCGTTTCTGGCGCCGATTCTTCATTCGAGCGGCGGCAATTCAAGCAACAGCAAGCAACCCGAACAGAAGAACCCACAAGAATCCCTATTAGTGTTAACTACAGCAAGTGTAAATATAGTGTGTCATTTTGTCAAGTAATTTAATTTCTATTCAACCCCTTTTATAGTCAGACAGATGTCACAGTTTTAATAGTTAAATTCAGTTGCAAAGTAAAATAGTAACTCCTAGCGTATTAATAGAAACACGACACAATAAACTAAATACAGTCCACTTGCTTTCATCCCCTACAACCAGAGTAGTGACATAGCCCAACGGATTAGTAAGCTGAAGTGGCAATGGGTCGGCCATATAGCTCGAAGAACCGATAACCGATGGGGAAGAAAGGTTCTCGAGTGGAAGGGTCGTACCGGTAGGCGTAGTGTCCTGTATACGTAATTGACTATCAATAATTCGATAACGATGATCCATTATCATTCTAAAAATGGGAAAACTCAATATCCACTTACGTAGTTAAAGGCGTAGAAAAGACTAAAAAAATTATAGCAAAGATCACAGTGACCACGTCACCGAAACAAGCTATTGAGGTATTAGAAAATATGATTCCAATATTCCTGAAACATGAAGGAACACGTAGGTGGCAATTTACTGCAATAAAAGATCGGAAGGAACATCTCAAGAACAATGAAGCTATCATTCACATAGATTTTAGTGAGAACTATGCTTTGAAGTATGACTCATAGGTTGAAGCCTTCCACTTTGGAGGTAGTAGGCAAGAGTTAACACTGCATACTGCAGTTATATATATAACAGATGATCAAGCAATTTGACAAACACATCATTTTGTACAGTAAGCGAAAACTTGCGACATGATTCTGCTGCTGTATGGGCGCACATTATCCCTTTACTTGAATTTGTGAACTCTGCAAGTAAAAAATAGACACATTTCATTTTTTATCAGAATCACCAAGTAGCCAGTACAGAAATAAAACAATGTTTTATGTATTTCTAAACTATATTGGTATTTTCATGGGCTAAAGATGGTCACCTGGAATTACTTCGAATCAGCTCACGGCAAAGGTGCTGCAGATGGAGTAGGGGCAGTTGTTAAACGCACTGCTGACGCTGGTAGAGATGTTGCAACATTAGATGGATTTTTGAAAATCGTAAAACAAAACACACAAAACAATAACGTGGCAACTGTTGAAGAATACCAAATAACAGAAAAAGATATGTTGATAACTTCAGAACAGTTGAAACCATTAAAAGGTACAATGAAAGTCCATCAAATACTGTGGCAGAAAGAAAAGGACCACCTAATATTCAGAGAAACTAGTTGCTTTATATGCTTGGACATGAACTGTAAACATACAAAATTTGTCGGTAAATTATGCTATAAAGACAAAGATGAATCAACACATATTACAAATAAAGAGAATGAAGATAATAATATGAATGTTGCAACCACAAACGTAATCCCTAAAACTACACCAAATAACAGGACTATTAAAATATTAAGAAATGTTTTACTAACGCCAAAGCGCAAAAGAAACGAAACCACCGCTAAAATGCTGTCTGATTTAAAACCTGATAATAAATTACACTTGGACCCTAATGTACAAATTGAGAATATGGTATATCAGTATAATATTTCTGGCAGTGGCAGTGATATCAATTTTTCAAGTGTATTTCAAGACTACGTTCAATCTACTCGTACATTGCAATTAAGCTCAAATGAAATAATTGATGGCCAGTCTAATGTTCTTGGATCATCATTGCTGTGTGATGATTTTGCAGATTCACAAAAGACTGCATTTGATCCTACCTGCGAAGTTTCTGGTCATGAAAGTGATACAGATTCGAGTTCAAGTTTCAATATTTTTGAGTTTTGAACTAATGTTTTAGTGGATTTTATATAAGGTAGGTTACTAGAAAGATAATTATTGTTTTTGTTCTGAAAATCAGTTTCTTTTGTTGTTATTTTTCTTAATTTTTAAATTAAGTCAACATCTATATTTACCAAAGTTTGATAGAAACGGCTAATCTTTTGTATTTTTCTGTACTACTTAAGACTGAATTATTTTATAATTGATACTCATTCGGATTTAAGTAATATAGTTTAAGAAATATCTTAGATGGAACTTATATAGCTCTGAGTTCTAATGACACTGAATTTTGAACTAGTGTTTTAGTTGATTTGATTTAAATTACGAGACGGTTAATATTATTGATTATTAAGAGAACTAGTTGATTTTTGATTATTTTTTATTAAATCAAGCTATATAGCTAAATTTGAACTGTCACCTAATTAAGAAATAAATATGTGATTTAAGTATATCATCTTTTTACTTATAATTACAAATCACATAGCATAATTACCATTTTAAATACTAATTACCGTGTGTTTCATATCTCATCACCATTAGACGAAAATTTTCTGCTTCAGATGTAGACCTTCATAGCAGTTCAGTTACTGTCCAATTGATTTATTTCGTTAATCTGTAAATTAATCGGAAGCATTATGTGAACTTAATTTACGAATATATATATATATATATATATATATATATATATATATATATATATATATATATATATATATACGGGGAAGGGAATGGTTCGAAACCCGGGTCGGGCCAAAAATCAATTATTGAGTTTTTCTGTCAATAAATTTTCAGTAGCTGCCTGGAGCCAAGAAGTGGGCGGTGTCTCACCCCCGTGCCTCGGAAAGCACGTAAAGCCGTTGGTCCTGCGCCTGAACTCTCTCCCGGTCGTGTCGGTTTACCGTCCCATCGGATTACGAGAGAGAAGGAATAGAGAGTGCACCTGTGCTTGCGCATACACTTGGGCACTATAATCCTGTCCTGCGCCGATGGCTAGCCTCCGTTGAGGCAGGTCGCCGTGGCCGAAATTCGGTCTGGAGGACATTATTATTATGGAACCTCTACACGTTGGCCAACACAGTGACGAATGTAGTGGCCAATAGCATTGGCCATAGTGTAGAGGGGGTGTTTGGGCTTCATTGGTATGTATTGGAACAATGGCCCACAAGTTGGCGCGAGATCCGCGTGGTGTCGGTTTTTTACAAAAGATCAAAGGATTGTTGGCAGAGTTTGGTCGCCGCGTCCGCACGTTGGCCGCGCGTTTAGTTTGCTACAAGTTCCCAGAGTGATTACACGCATCTGATTTAAATTTTATATTCAAGCTTTGTGTGGTGGATGCCCAAATTACCAGCCTTTTAGTGCCAATTTCAACTTTAAACATTCCTACTACTTTAATTAGCGCGATTTAATTATTTTTAAACATTTGTTTTAATCGATAAGCTATTTATCAAAAAAAATAACGAACATTTATTTACAATCAGATTATTACGAGAACAATTTTAAAATGAAAAAAAAATGAAGCACGACGTTTATACGTGGTAGAACCATGCAGTTATATTAGAAGTATAGTTGTAGCACGAATGGGTCGGCTCAACCGGGGAAGGACCACGCTCTCACAGAATATCAGCGTAAAATAGTAGCTTATTGATGCTGTGTTTCGTATAGTGAGTGTAGAGAACCAGAAATCCTTTTTAAAGGAAACAAGGTATTTCATCTAAGTCCTCACGGGTGACAACGCATCTGCATTTTGATTCGTAATCGAGGATACACGTAGATGACTGTGGGCCACAGTAACCACTTACCATCAGGTGAACTCTGTGCTCATTTGTCACCCTATCCTATAAAAAAAACGTCGATTTCTTATAATTTAATCGTGCAAGTTTTCGAATCATCATCATCATTACAGCTATTCACAAGTCCACTACTGAACATCCTCCTCCACAGACTGCCGCAAAACCTGGTCCTGAGCCACTTTGCTCGTCATGAGTTTTTCATTTACGTTCTAAATTATAATTAGTACCTATTATTAAGTCAGTGTTAATTATATTTATTGCTATTGTTTTTGTCTTTCTCAAAAAATAATTAAATTACCAAATAAATTATAAGGTGTTTTTTATATACATCAAATGTCTGATAGAAAAGCAAGTACATGTTTTGCTAAACTTTAAAATCAAAATCCAATTTTAAAACATAGACTAATTGATTATAACTCCTTTAAAGCGGGCTACATACGACACGATATCGGTGGCGATCTAGGGTGGAGTAGTGGGGATGCCTCCTAGATTGCCTCTAAATCGTGTCGTATGTAGGGCCATCCTAAGTCGTGGCCGATATCGCCTCCTTAATCGGCTGGCAGGAGCAAAAATGCTTCCTAGATCAGCCGATGCTTCCTAGATCGGGGCACCGCCCCCTCCTTACTGCGTGTGTGTAGGCGCATCGGCCCGATTTCTATTGGCAGTCGCTGCCGGCAACCCTCGCGGAAGGAAGTTAACAAAACAGTGATACTGAATGACCTTTTTTATATAACAAAATTTTTACATTTTAATCATATAAACGGAGTAGAAGCCTATGGCACTGATATTTTACAAAAAACCAAAAAAAAGTGAATAAAATAATAAATTAATTGAAACTTTATCGAAATTCAAATCATATTCACCCTAGACTGTGACCCTACGAAGTGACATGGTCAAGAATGCCTACTAAACTAATTTTTTTATTGCCGTTCGTAAAGTAGAGTGTATGATGTAAGTTAGGAGAAGATAAAGCCTCTCCTCAACAACTAACTCCTATTCCAACGCTATCAACACAAGACCGCACTCATATCTCTTACAACTCCACTAGACCACACTTCGATCTCTTACGTGCCTTCATCCTCTTATCAACAACTAACTTCTACTCCTTCACCATCTCCACATCAACAAACAAGTTATATAAAAGGGAGTATGTCCGAAATTAAAGGTTTCTTTATGTTTAAAAAAAGATATAAGTTATTTTATTTTCTGATAGTTTTACTACATAAATAAAGATTACATTAAAAAAAAAGTATACATATTATTATACAAAAGTATTTTATTTCCTTGTTTGTTGTGTGTAATACATAACCAGATTTTGACCAAAGCAGAAATGAACAAAGAGAAGAAATAACTAAATAGCATAGGTAGGAGAAATTGACCTTTTTGTATAAGTGGCGAAATCATTTCTAGAAGGTTATAAAAACTGTCTTCATCCATCCGGAGAAAATTAATCACGTCCTTGGATTACAGGCCATTTAGTACGTTTATGTGGCTTAATTTTTATCTCTTTTGGAGCCGTTTTTTCACCCAGCAACTTCTCTTTTTCTATTTTCGAATAAATTAACCGAGATGGCTAATGCCAAACCAACACGGTGGTGTTTTAAGAGAGTCGGAGGTATTTTGAAGAACTCTACCGCATATGCATTCCGCTCCAACTCCGAACGCGTACTGCTAGGCAGGCCCGTGTGTAAGGTCTACCCCGATAAAAGCCCCGATTTCTGTCCACCCTAGATCGCCACCGATATCGTCTCGTATGTAGCCCGCTTAACTTTAAAATAACTTTAGTTCTTATTAATGGTATTTATTCCAGTTTATGATGCATGTAAAGAATAAATAAAGCTAATCGTATATCCTATATCTATTTACAGCCTTATTAATATCCACTATTCTTTTATAATTATTTTATAAAAACGTTACCCCCACACTTGAATTTTCTGCTGTATCGCGGAGGCAGCTTAAAAACATAAATTACACAAGGACACACATCCAGACCCGAAACAATTATTTGTAAGACATTCAAATACTTGTTCCGTGCGGGATTCAAAACCGCGGCCCCCGGCACAGCCACTTAATGCGAAGCCACTGCGCCACGGAGCCGTCGTCTAAAGTAAAATAAATTCGTCCGCACATTGGCCCGAACCGAAGTAAACTGAACGACCTTCCAACGTGTGGATGCCGTCACCAACTCTCGGCCAATATATTCGCCACTACATTCGCCACTGTGTTGGCCAACGTGTAGAGCCGACATTATATACATGCTTATAAACTTCGTAAATTAGTATCCGTATGAATAATATTATATATAATATAATATAATGAAATAAATGTTAGAAGTAGAAAAAGAGAAAAGAATAAAGGAAAAACAGTGTCAATTAGTAGTAGCCGGTCAGGTAATGTTGTCGTAGAAAAACTTTGAAGATTTTTTATTTGTGGCATTCTTAATATCATTGGGGAGGGTGTTCCAAAGTTTCATAGCTTGTATCGTAACAGACGACCTGAAAAATTAGACCTATGCTGTTGAAACCTGAACCTCAGACGGTTTGACTGTCGGGATGTTCGACCGTCGATCGAATGAAGAAAATGAAAATTATCCTTAAGATAAGTAGGCGACCTTGGATCGTTAAAAATTGAATAAAGTACAAGTGAAATTGAATTGAAGCCATTTAAGCATTCAACGATAGGATGATATGTGGTCATACTTACGTAAACCAAAAATAAACCTTATGGAATTATTAAGATTATTATTGTTGTGTTGATTTGACCTTGACCTCACAATGTCCTCTAAATCCCTGAGGTTGCTTGAACGGCCGTGTGTAAGTGTCTGGTGCACATAATCTGGAGTGTAGCGTCTGGAATTTTATTCCTCGCGAGGTCCTACATCCCCGATTTTCTGGTTTTCTATTACGGCCTTGAACTGAACGAACAAGAGTGGTGGTTGGTCCACCCAGTATTCGAGTATTCTAGAAGAAACGCTGATACTCGCCAGCACCATGGTGCAATTTTCGTGGGTCCCCGTCGACGTCTACTCACCCTGAGCAGGCGCGGGGTGGGTGGGGGTGTTATTGGCGTGGGCGGGATAGGTGCTTGCGAGAGTTGACTCGAGTCCGGGTCGCGGGTACATATTTTACCGACACTACTTCACATACGGTTCTTCACACGCTCACCAGTGACACGCTCACCGGTACGTACGTGAGAATCTATATAAAGTCACCGGAC